CTCTCTCTCTCTCTCTCTCTCTCTCTCTCTCTCTCTCTCTCTCTCTCTCTCTCTCTCTCTCTCTCTCTCTCCCCTCTCCTTCTCTCCTGTCCTATCCCCCTTCCCCTCTCTCTATCTCTCTCTCCATCTCTTTTCGGTCCATTGGAAGCCCGCGCGCGTGCCCCGAGACTATCGCACGTGATTAAGACTCGAAACACAACGAGGCGTAAGAACAGCACGCAAAGAACGCAGAATCGATGCGCGGTGTAAGAAAATCCAAGATAAAAGGGAGTAGAGCTAAAAAGACTGCTCATTTGGAAAACAGCGAATTTAATTAGCATTCTGACGGAAGACGGCATTCTGATGACCTCGGATCGATGATACTTTCCAACCGATCGCACCGCTATTCTTCTACTAGCCTTCCAGCTGTTCCCTTCGTGTTTTCTCAGATTCGCGTTTACATTTCTAGGATCAGGAATGCTTGAAGAATAGCCGTTTTTTACAGTTCGCGATAGGCAGGCGAGCTTATCTAGTGCGCTCGCACATTTCCACGTTACATAAAATAAAAATAGAAATAACGATTCTCTATCGTACTTTTTCCGACAGTAAACCCACATTGTACATACGTATACACTGATAGCGCTTTATTCCTTTTGCTTGACGTAATATGCTATCTTATTTCTTCGACAAATATTACAATAAAATATAATATTGTTTTATTTGCTCTTTTAAACGTCACATTTTATCCCGGCAATCCTGATTCTTTTATTTTTTTCCGTTCCAGCGTTGAAAAACTGCCCGTCCGAGTCTTCGAATATTCCAACACCCAATATAGGATTTTCAAAAGTAATTATTTTCAGTTAATTTATATTGTATTAATCGCTCGTGATTATTTTGCGATCATATTTTTTACACTCGTTCGCTATTTACTATAAATTTTCGGAATACAATCCACGCGTCTTTTCCAGGCGATGTCCGGTTTCATTATGATGATGACGCAGCAAGGAAAATTGTTATACATATCAGAAAATGCGGCAGATTATCTCGGGCATTCTATGGTACAGTACTCTCAAAAATGTAACCCAGACAATAGTCTTCCTAAGTGTAGCATTATCTTCGGAACGAATTGTGATAAGGCGAAAGATTTTCAGGAGGATTTGCTCATTCACGGCGACAGTGTGTACGACGTGATCGACAAGCAGGATCACATGGTCGTGCAAAATCAGCTATCCCGAAACAGTCCCATTCCCAGCGACAGGAGATTGTTTCTGTGCCGAATCAACGTGTCGAGAAATTCTCGGAGGCAGCTGCGATTCGGCGATCAGAAGGTGATTGATAGCCGCCGATTAACTTTAAAATAACGTCCACTTACCGCGCACCATTCGTTTCTATCCGCAGGTAATCCTCGTGGAGGGTCACTTCCTGCCCTTCGTTCCCGTTTGCAATCGCAACGAGTTCGTTTTCCTGGCGTCGTGCACCCCGGTGGTCCTGCCGGAGACCCGGGAGAGCATCGTTCAGGGCGCGACGCATATCTTCACCACGATTCACTCGATGGACATGAAATACCTGCATATCGATAAAACGTAACTGCATCCATTCGACATTGATAAGTTTAGAAAACCGAGTTCTGCTTTTCTAAAGGTTTCTTCTTCCGCAGCGCGGAAAGTCATCTGGAGTACACGCGCGCCGAGTTGGTCAACGTATCGTGGTACAATCTACTTCATTGGGACTCCATAAGAACCGCCTATTGCAAACATCAAACGGGTAATTGCGCTATGCGTCTCATCAATCCCTTTATCATATTCTGAACTGGTTTGCTCGGAATTTGATTTCAGTCATCCAATCCGATCAGGAGCGATCCACCACCGCTTTACTGAAGCTACAAAGCCGCTCCGGGAGGTGGTTCTGGGTCCATTGCGTGCTGCAGGTCAAGGACACCTCCGACGAGTGTCAGCATCCCATAATCGTTTGCACGAATCAAGTACTCACGTACGTTTACGATTATTTTATCAGCTCTTTTAACCATTTACTAAATGACGAAATTTCATATTTGCCTAACGGTGGTATAATTTACTCAAAATGCTTTGGTTCGCATCGCGATATACAATAATTACAGCGATAGGGAGGCAGAAGTGATGCGCTCCAGTTCATGGCTGTACCAGTACTCGTCTCAAACCAAGTTCACCTACGGACTCTGCCCCAGCGGTCAAGGTCGCGGTACCGTTTATCCCTCCGCAGGACCTACTAATCAAGCCCAGGAATACGTTCGGACATACTCCAACGACACCGAAGCCCAGCTCTCGCCGTCGCTTCACTCGGACCGATCCGAGACGGAGTCGCATGGCGGCTCGAAGATCGCGCAGTCGACGGATTATCCCAACAGGCGGCTTCTGCGGGACGACGCGGAGCCAGTGGACATGTCGATAAGCGGCGCGGAGCAGCACGAGGGCAGGGGCGTCCAGAGCACGATCTCTGATCATCAGCAGCACGTCCTGGACGACGCGGTTCGGTACCATCACAAGCAGTACCACAAGAACTCGTTACATCTGGCCGGCTATCGGGCCAAGTTCGCGCAGTGCCACGGCACGCAATACGCCAGCGGCTGCGCGGACGTGCTGTCGGTCCCCGGCACCAAGTATTATCTTACCGACCTCGACCGGGACTATTGCTGCGGTGCGGAACGGAGCGCCCTGTTGGTGCACAAGCGGCTACCGACAAAGGCGTTGCTCGCGCCGCCGCCACCCTCGGTGGTCACCGCAGCGACGGAACCGCCGCAGCCTGACACCACTCCCTTGGAGAACTGGGGCACGGCGTGGTCGGACGCGTTGCAGAGGGTGCCAGACGTGGTACACCAGGAACTGAGCCCGTACATCACCACGCCGACCACGCCAGTCAACACGCCCGACTCGGACACGCTCGGACACCCGGAGGCGCCTATCTTCAACTTCGACTGGGCCGGCACCGAGCAGCACGTGCCAAACCTGAAGATCACCTTCCACCGCACCAGCGCCGCGATCACCACCACCGGCCATCCTGCCGTCCAGCCTAGGAAGCAACATCAGGACGCGGTGCAGCCCATCACGCTACAGTTACCACGTAGGAAGGGACAGTCTACGGAAAATGACAGCAAGGACTTCCCGAAATGAATTAGGAAATACGTATACAAGTCCGAGGGAAGGTGGCCATACAGTAAGAGTTTAGGGGACAGTAAAAAGAGTACAAGAGAGTAGGGAAAGCCTATAGTTTTCCACCTACAGCTATCTTTAATAGTTAAAGTATAGAAAAAACGTCGGATACCAGTTAGTTCGTTAATAAAAAAAAATTATGTAAGGATCTAGGAGACATTAGAGACGAAAGTAGGGACTAGCACTTATGAATCAATTGGGAATGTGTGAATGTGTGCGTCAAGAGAATCTAAGGCGAGCACAAAAGGGGTATTCGGACAGTGTTGTACTTACATACGTCTCTTTGTCACAGACAACGGAGTATATTCTTCCAAATTCTATCAGTATCGCGTTACACAATTTTCTACACGCTCGTTCGTCTCTTTTCTCTCTCTCTCTCTCCCCCTCTTTTTCTTTTTTTTTCTTCTTTTATCTTCACGTCTCTGTCTCTTTGGCATCTTATACGTTACTCTCGAATCGTAAATTCTTCATTAATATAAAACACGTATATAAACATAGACTGATTACATCGGTGTTTACAATAATCTACGATTAAAAAAAGTCGTACATCATTTCGTTTATCTCCGGTATACGCTTTTATGCGAGAACATTCGTTTTGAGATAAATAGCACGCATCGTACGCGTATATTCCAAGTGTATATATATTTATATTATATATATTACATATATAATGTTGTGCATATTATATATCTAATATATATATTACATATATTATATATATAACTATGTATGAATGTGCAGTGTCGTAAGAGGGTACCCAGGTACATGCGCTATATATGTTTGAGATTTCCTTTGAAAATACCTAAATCTTACGTTTAACACACGATCGTGAAATATATTCGCTTTGTACATTTCAACGCATTCGAGGGAACGCATGAAGAAGAGTGTCTCTTTTTCTTTGGCGTAACGTGCGCGTTGCGCGTTACATTACGTCTCGACGTCATGTACTACGAAGGAAACAGGTAAATAAAGAGAGGCAGTTAATCGTTTATAGCAGTAGCAGCAGCTTCAATCAGGTTTCCGTCCACAGTCGTGTTTTAGCATTATTATCCGACGTTATCGACACCTCGATCGGAGGTCCAACACCGGCCAGAGGTCGACCGTGCGTAAGCGACCACGCGCAATTTAATCGCGACTAACACGCCCTTTGTTACGTCTTACGTTTACGGATCTTTTATAATAAATATCGAAATAAATATATCCTGCAGAGTGTATCTCTAGTGCCAAGCCGAACTTTGAAGATATGTTCCGGTGCTGGAATATAAATAAATAAAGGGTTTGCGTAAGAGCATGGGGAAAATGCCTTTTCACGGATCTCTGAGTAACGTTTCTTTCGAACTGGAGCTTCAACGTGTGACGACAGGTTCTAGAATATATCCCCAAAGTTACGATGTTTCCGACACTTCTTCCAATTTTCTTTTTTTTCTTATAGCGAATAACCATACACTCGCTTCTCTACTTAAAATGTCGGGCAAGTGTCCTTGCCGTACTAATTGCCACATTAATAGTCTTACACACATCAACGTTTACTTTCCGACGAATACAACACACAATTTTTCAATTTCGTTTTGGATCGAGAAAGCAAAACGAATTCTACGACACAATCAATCCCACTGTGCGTCCGTCTTTCGAATAAATCTTCACCGTTTGACGTATTTTCCTTTTTTTTTCTTAAAAATCTAAAACGCAGTCTCCCTGATATATTTCTGATCTTGAAATTCCAATTTTATCCTATCTGCGTCAAAATATCGAAGTGTGAAGTTTCCGAGTCTTTGAAACGTCATCGATCCTCCCCGCAAAAGTTGCACGCAATGATCTCCCAGGAAAAGTCTTGAGCGTCTCCCTATTTCAGTGCTCGTCCTCGCGGGATCGCGAATTCGACAAAAAGTGCTATAAGCCTAAAGTTCTCGCTTCGAAATGTTTTCGCATTTCTCGCGTTACGAAGAAATACAAGCGCAACGAAAACGTCGAGCGTCATTATGCTCTTATATCACCCATCTCATTTGCGTTTGCCGTCGCATTTTAGTATCGACGCGATTCGCCAAAGTCCTCGTCATGCGAGATCGAATCGCGCGAGATCGACTATAAAGGTAAAAAAATATCACCGAGTCTTACGCTATTCCCATCCCCCGTATGTTCGGCGGCGCTCAAAAATGCCAGAAAACGCGAGAGATTATACAGATATATGTTTTTTTCTTTTTTTTAAAATTACGTCTTTGTTTTCTCATGTAAAATTTAGCATTGTCTCTCCTTCACTAAAGATTTACGACCAACCATAATAATTATACGCTTACAATACCTTAATTATTATCGAGAGATCCTTCTTGAAATTCTTTAACATATATGTGGGAGGAAGAGTGCTTTTAAATACGTTAGAAAACGGCTCCAAGTTGCTGCATCGCACCTCGGGGAAACGGAAATCGCGTATATAGTTTATTATCGGTATAATCGCTCGCGTGACGGCCTCCAAATCGATCAGCGCGAATCCTCGTATCAAAAAGTACCCGAATAATAGATCGAAATCATTGGTTAATTGTACTCGTTAATTACGCTGCCGATACGTAACTACCGTCGCGTCCACCCGATGTACCCAGGTTCGTTCGTGATCAATGTTTCTGCCGTCGAGTTCCTTCCTCGCCGATCTGCACATACGGGATCCCGAAGATCTCGCGTCCCCCTCTCGCGATCGTCGCGCTAGGGAACCGCGTGACCTCCGACGAGCCATTTTACACCCCGTAGATGCATCCCCGCGAGTACGTACTGTCCGCGACACTGCACCGTGTATATATGTGTATGCTGATCGCGCGAGAGTGCGTGTTTAATGTGCGTGGGTATTTTTTGTACAAGGTACAAACGCACGCGTGCCGACGCGTACATAGGAACGTCGCTGTCGCTTTCTTCTTCGAGCAGCGATTATGTTTCGTGCTTCGAACGGCGAGTGGCTGTACGATCGCGCGAGAAAGACTAGAGAATCTGTCCTCGGGCACCTCCCGGGATCCGCCGAGAGCGCTCCCGCAAGTGGAAGCTAGCCGGAGAGAATCGAGTTTGGATCGACTTTAACACCCGCGTGAGTAACGTGAATGACCCGTGAGAGAAAAAGAAAGGAAGCTACTCGAAGTACACTTATGTAAAAGATTGTACCTTCTCGCTGTATGTAAAATCGAAGTACGCGCAAGGTTTATTAATTAATTACATCGAGGATGAAAATGAAAGGCTCGCAGTCTTGAGGTCACTATAGGCATGTCGGCGCGCGTACGGTTGACTTTGATTACTTTTACGAGCCTTCGATCGCTAAAGTCGTGTATCGCTCGACACAGTGCTCTTATTTTATTTAATTTAATCTGTTCTTTTTATTATTAACTATATATTTCTTCGATCTCGTTTCTCAATAGCATCGAGAGTGCGCTACCGACAGTCCTCCCTTCGCTCCGCGCCTCGCCTCTCCCTCGCTGTCTTTCTTACTCTCACGTCGTATAATCTTGGTATAATCTTTTAAAGCTTCGTTTGGCACGTATAATTAGAATGTATTTTAGTTTTACGGAAGAATTCGATTTAGCATTAAATCTCCCGCTCTCTCCCTCCTCCACCTCTCTCTCTCTTTCGTTTTTTTTCTTTCTGCTAATCGCTAATTATCTTCCCGTACTCCGCTGGCCGTTCCAGCCTCCTCTCCCACCTCCTCCCCCTCCCTCTCCTTCCAGCATTATTACATTTAAACACATTCATTTACAGTTTTACACTTCGCTACGTCGTAAAATTTACATCGAGTGTTTGCATCGCGCGTCCGCGCGACGTACGGAGGATTATCGTTATATCCCTTCGATATATTTTTTTCTTTTTCCTCTTTACTTAAATAGGTTCTTGTGCTCTGTGACTTAGCTTTTTCCCCTCGTCTACTCTCCCCGTTACCACGCGCCACCGCCGCCACCGCCACTCCCTCGTTTTCCTCCTTCCTCCGACAGGGAGGCTCCCGGGAGGCCATACTTCCGGTATCACGGCGACGACGATGACGATCGCATCAGGGGGAGGGGAAGGTACCGGTACACCTCGATCCCCCCCGAGGGCACCGGACACGCAATATAATTCCAAATTCGCGCGAACTCGCGTAGGTACGCACGACATTCGGAGAGATATTAATGAACGTTATATTCATGGCAGTATCCACATCGCGTTGCTTCTCTGAGAAACTCGGAGACCGGGGCTGCCCGCGTTTCGACTAGTGCGTCGACGGCCGGCACACGCTTCCCGTCGCGACTCGGAACGAACCCGCAGCCTCCTCTCCTCCTCGGGAGGACCCCAGTTCCCAGTGAGAAATGATTCGTCGATCGATGTCGAAACGACGTCAAATCGACATCGACACCGTCGAATTGACGTCGTTCGACGTCGATCGACGAATCATTTCTGACTGGGTTACCCAATTCTCCGACGTAATGCCGTCATCCACGTCCCCCGTCAATTTATCATTAGAATGAAAAGCCTTCGGCCTCGACTGTCCAAGTTACGGGAACAATAATCAAGCTGAGAACCCTTGGTTTCTCCCCCCCAAGAGTCTGCGACTCAAAAAGCTTAAGAACCGCTGCCTCATTAAATATTCACGCGTCTTGATATAGACGATCGATATCAGTGCCGTACGAAATTCGAGAAATGATCCGAGAACATTATGAACAAACAAAGCGCCCCTGCGTTGTCACGCGGGGTGAGGAGCCCGGTCGCCCACCTGTGTCACAGTTAACACCCCTCGTTAATTCCCCGGCAAGGATACATTAGTTCGCGATTAATTCTTTTTACGCATTCATGGATACCAATGTAATTATAGAGCGATACCATTACGTTCGAGAGAGCATTAAACTCGGACGTCACGTCGCGGGATAACCGAGTTATCGACGTAATTACTGACGATTAATAGAATTTCCACTGAAAAATGCGCGCGATCGGGTCGGCGCGCGGAAGCAACGCGGTCGTCGAAGAGTTAATTCTCTTATCCCGCGGTGAAAAGAAAATCCAGTAGCCTTTCTTCGCGCGCGGCCTGGCGGTCCGGAGGCTGGGCCCGAAAGATGCGCGACACAAACGACCGGATGTACCCGTAACAACGAGCGATATCGTTGGAGACAGGGTGGTTTGGCAGTCGCGAGCGCCAAACCCGTTCGCGGCAGTCGCCGGTCTCCTCGTTTCCGTTTCTTCGTGCGCTCGGAGAAACACATAAAACGTAGGAAAAGTAAACGGCGATATAACAATAATAATAATAATTACAATAATAATGATAATAATAATAATACAACGTTGCTTCGGTATATGTACGCATGTGTATGTGAGTGTGCACACGCGCGCGCACGTGGTCGTTGACTCCCAATTCTGTGGTGTGCTGATATCGGAAGCGCGGGGGAGGGGGCTGCACCCTCTCCCCGATGCAAAAAGGTCGAAGCGCGCATCGTCGGGTTACTGATTATCACCCCGTGGTGCCGCGGTTTCTGCTGTGCCACTTACACTTGAGAATCCTCACGTAGGTTCTGCGGAAAGCCGCGTTGCATAGCGCGTAGCACATCGGGTTCACAGTACTGTTGATGTAGCAAAGGTAATAAAAAAAGTCCCACAGATGCTGGGGTATGTACCACGAGCAGGCGGTGATGGACTTGAGGAGTACCAGGATGTTGTACGGGGTCCATGTGATGATGAACGCAAGCAGGATGGCCGAGAGCGTTTTCGCGGCCTTTCGATCGGCCTTCTTCTCCTGCAGCTTCTTCTTCTTCTTGTTCGGCTGCTTGTTCAGTATGCCCTTGCCCGTCGTCAGTGTCTTCGGTATGTTCTTCGCGTTCAGCGGTATCCTGATGTCCGGCATCTGCGACGGCCTCCTCGTCACCGTCGACGGGCTCGATACGGAGCCGCCACCGAGACGGAAGAACTTGCTGGCACCAACGCCACTGCCGCCGCCGCCGCCACCGCCTCCACCACCGCCGTCGTCCTCGCTGTCTTCCATCATGCTGTGCAATTGGATCGACATGGACTCGTCAGGGATCATCTTTATGCTCGGCCCCTCGCTGTACTTGCCGCCGTTGCTCGGCAATTTGATCAGAATCGTATAAACCTGGAAACGAAGGAGACACGCGCGTGGTACAGATCTCTTTCAACGAGTTAATACGCACTGGTTTTTCTCATCAATACTTTAAAGGATGATATTTCTTCTCGATTTCCAACTAGAAATACAAATACAACAGAATAGGATCGTCACATACGGAATCGCTGGAGAGATTCTTGAGGTCGACCGGCCGCGTCGGCCTTTTGTACTCGTGCTGCGCCGCGGCCTTGTCCAAGGCGAGTCCCGTGGCCTGTATCGCGCTGAGGGAGGGACACCGCGATACCGTGCTGGGAAGCGGCGTCTCGGCCGACAGCGGCGTGAGCGTGTCCTCGTAGCCGACCCCGGTGCGGCTGCTTTCCGGTCCGGCGATCTCCTCGTCGTCATCCTCGTCGTCTCGACCGCTGTGCCACCACGCGATGCACCACATCTTCAGCCAGGTCCAGGAGAACGGTCTGTGCTGCACGCCCGGAGAGCGGAAACGGATAAGATCGTAGTCGTGCTGTTGGTCGATCTAGAGATTGCGTTCGCAAACGTAACCTTGCGTCATAGCACAATACCGAATCTTTTCCGTTTTCTTTTCTCAAATTGGTGATAAGTAATGGTCAAGGTCTTGAGCTTACTAAATGAAAGGGGTGATTTTGATTTGCCATAAATAAGATTTCTCTACTATGTAATGAGAGAATTGAAGATACAAGTGCTTGGATTATTGAAACTAAAATCTCTAAAATAAGTAATAAAGTGCAAACAAATGAGTAGCAGTAATAATTCTCAATCCCGAATTGTGCGAGTTGTGCAAAGTTCCAACTTTCAATGGTACTTGCAAGAAAGAAAAAACGGGAAAACGTGCGCGCAAAGTTATTCCTGCTGGTGCAATCACATCCAAATTCACGCTTACGACTGCTACTTACGCTCTTGTATTGCGGATAGTGCTTATCAATGTAGGAAACGGCGATGTGCGTGGCGTGCGAGACGTCGTCGGCGGTGCTCGACTCGCTTCGCTGTCTTCTGCAATCCTCCATGTCTAAAGCCTCGTCGCTACACGGAAAAATGTGACAATAAGCACGTCGGGCGCGCAACTGGGTCTTTCGACCTCGCGATATTCGCAAAGCGCGATTGCTCGCGTCGTCGAAAGAAGCGTCTCGTTGCGCGTACTAGCGGAAAAATATTTTTATCGGCTTAGGAAAAAAACAAATAGAAAATATTCGAACAACGAGATCCGTGGAGCTCGACAAAATATTGTCACAAAGATCATGAACAAACATCAAAGAATAACAAGAAGCATCAAAGTAAAGAGGACATTCGGTTCGATCTAACATGTTCGAGGGGGGGGGGGGGGGACAAGTGTCCTAAAACAGTAGAGTAAAATGTTCTCTTTACGTAAGGGAGAAATTAATTAATTAACCTAAGACAATACGTTTCGACCATTCACTAGTGCAACTGTGCCCTAAATCAAGGCAAGGGCTGCGCTTCCAAATCGGGCAATGTGTTACCATCTCTCTTGTGCAGGGGTTGCGTTTTTTTTTTGGTGACGTGCTGAGACGACAAGTTCGAAGGGAGAAACAATTGAAAGCGTTAGTTACCACCTCGAGTTGCTGCGCTTGCTCGCGTCTTGCTTGCCGGCCTGCAAGTTCGGCAGGTCCTTCTGACGTTTCTTCGTCTCCTTCCAGATTCGCCAGTAAAGGATTATCATTATCATGACAGGAACATAAAACGCGGCGATAGCCGTGCCGAAGGTGATGTAGTGGTTCGTCTCGATGAATTGGATGTAGCACGCGGTGTTCGGCACGGTCCTGTTACCCTCGATGTACGGCCACGCGTAGATCCAGGGTGGCCAAAGAAGCAGCGATATACCCCAAGCGGACCCTGGATTCAGCGTCGTCTCGATTATTTCTCAACGAACGTACGTGGTCTCGTTGATTATTCCGAATATTTAACAAATATTCATTTTATTTATGTTATTCAAGCGTTGGAAATACCGTAAGCACAGTGTAAGTGATTCTATCGGAGTATTCGTCCGAACTCTGTGCAAGAGCGAACAGTTTAAATCGCGAATTAAAAGCAAAATCGTCAGAGAGACGATTTCGACAAAGATTTTTTTCAATCTCGACCAAGTTCCCCCGAGAACTATCCGACTTTTCTAAAGATAGCGAACACCGGTATTCACTCGCGTTTCGTCGCCTCCGACAGATTCGACACTCACCGATCATGACGGCGGCTTTGATGGTGGTCCTCTTGGCCCGATAGGTGAGCGGGCGCGTGACGGAGAAGTATCTATCGAAGCTGATAATGAGCAGATTGAGGACCGATGCGTTGCTCGCGAGATAATCGAGGGCGAGCCACGTGTCGCACACGTGGGGCCCGAGCGGCCAGTAACCGAGCACCGTATACAACGTAAAGAGGGGCATGGAGATTAGGCCGATCGCGAAGTCGGCCACCGCCAGGCTGAAGAGGAAATAGTTGGAGATCGTCTGCAGTTGCTTGTCGATCTTGAACGATATCATGACCATAATGTTGCCGAGGACCGTGGTGAGACTGAGGATGACGGCGACAACCATTATCAGCACGCGCTCCCATACCGCGTACTGATGGGGCTCACCGCCGCAGTCGAGACCGTTTGTCGTGATGTTGGTGTCATTGCTGAATATCGCCACCACCGAAGTAACGTTCATGTCTGGCGGACTATTTCTCGTCCTCTCTCTCTCTCTTTTTCTCCTTAATTCAAAAAGCCGTTCTCCAGCGCCTTATCTGTTCCCAGCGCTCCGCGTCCGGCACGGTTACCGGTACGCGCGGGCGATCGCGCGTCCTCTGGTTCTCTCGCGCACGGATCTCCGGAGCTCACGACTCGAGCTCCGATCCTCGGGGCACCAGCGCCGGTAGCCCGCCTCACCCTCGTCCGATCTCTCGCGTACCCCTTTACCATGCGCGCGGCGGGTACGCTGATGAAGCGCGCGCGTTCGCCCACGCGGCCGTGCGCGCGCACGCACGCCCGCCCGCACGCACGCACGCACGCACGTACGCACGCACGTACGCGCGAACGCCACGCTTCCGGTTACTCCTCGTCGACGGGCACCGGAATTCGGCCAACGGCACCACCTTCGCCGACGCTACCGTCGCGATCTCTTCCCTTCTCCTCCACCTTCTCCTCCTCCGTGTCCTCGTCGTCGTCGTCGTCCTCCTCGTCCTCGTCTTCCTCCTCCCCGTCCTCCTCCTCTTCCTCCTCCACCTTCTCCTCCTCTTCCTCCCCTCCTCCTCCTCCCCTCCTCCTCCTCCTCCTCCTCCTCCTCCTCCTCCTCCTCCTCCTCGTCCACCGCCTCCGTCGTCGTGCTCTCGCTAGGTGGAAGGTAGTGTCAACTACATCCCACGTTTGCTCCTCTCGGTGGAGACATTGAGTCTGCGAGCAAAGAGCGGACATACCGAAAAATCGTACAAAAAAATTATTAGTATAATAATATTAATGGAGTCACGTCACGTAAATATTCGATACGTTTTCTACTTCCTCCGATATATTTCTTTCATCTGACGTTTGCTATCGAGCAAACATTGAATATCAAAAGTCCATCTGTGGGAAACATAGAAACGCTTTCGTATAATAAATACTTCTGTGCAACGACGAAAAAGAAAGACTCGAGAAATAATAAACTAACGCGTGACTTTTCGCGGGAGATAAAATCCGTGCAATTGCGGATTAATTCACCCCCGTCGTCGAGCTATCGACACGAGTGCAGCTCGCATCTTCCGCGCCACGGACGACCTTGTCTTAATCTCCGGCCGTCATCGCGCACCGAGAGACACTGTAGTGGCGTAATAAAGCAGAAGGGGAAAAAAACGAGAGAAGAAGGAAGAGAAAGTTCTTTTGTCGTACTTCGGCGCGGCGCGAGACCGTCGTCAGACGAACCGCGAAAAGTGCAGCCGATGCCGCGGGGCTTCCCCGCCGTTCCCGCCGCCGGATCCGCGCGCGAAGAGAGAGCTGTACTTTTTCTCCCCCGTCCTCCCGACCAGCCGCTTCGTCCCTAACGAGCTACTTATTCGCCACTCACTTGTAAACCGGGCGCGTCGCGCACCCCAAATACGTCTCGGACGTATCAAGCGTTCGCGCTTCCGTTTCCGGACTACGCGAGACTCTAGTGCGCCTATTCCGCCGATGTGTCAGCACGTACACGTCGCTCGTCGAAGGCTCGAGAGAGGCCGGGAGGACGGGATTATCGACGATCGGACAGTCGACCCTTTTCTTATTCCAACGCGCGTAACGGCGGTCTCCAGAATCTTACGGCGAATTCGAGTGCTTGCACCAGTACCGAGGCTTGTTTGTACACGGAGAGAATTTTAAAATTTACCCTGAAGTCATGTAATCGTGGGACAACATGGCATTTTGAAGAACGATTCGACAGCAACACTTATTGACGCCAGTTCTTCATTTTGAAGAACTCTGTGACAGTTTCTTTGAAATTTTACCATACATTTCACCAGCAGTTATACTTACAAGTGCACGTTTCGCTAGTAGAATGTATGGCTTTTATGGAATAGCTGCAAGTTGATTGGCTACACACTTCTCGAAACTAGAACTTGGACGCAGGCCTTTAGGGCCAGTTTCACAAACGTCAGTTAATTGTTAACCGAAGGTTAATTGCTTCTCTGTTTCTTCGTAGATAATAAAATAGAAAAAGTTAGGGAGTTGGCTGAACTCAACGGTTAACCGACGTTTGCGGAACTCGCCCTTAGTGCGCTCTGGGCAGCAGCGCAAACAACTGAATTCGCTACTATTTCCGTAGAAACGTCCGAGACATCGCTCGCGCGTTCTTCGTACGGGCGACAAATCTGCTTGTACTTTCAGATCCGACGTCGCGTTTCTCCGACTTGCTTGTCCCGCACGGAAATTCAACAGATAAAAATTGAACTTTTACCCCGGAGACCTCTCTCGATATCGCGATAAGCGAGTTTTAATGCGGAAGTGACGTCGGCGGTGCGGGAAGAGTTCGGAACTTGTTATCGTCCGGAGTCACAATTCGATCGCGTTCGCCCCGCGCGCTCGTCTACGTCGCCGAAGACGCGGGGCTACGGCGTCGCTCCAATTACGGACGTATTTCACTTGCCGACTTGTCCGCTTAAACGCGCGGCGCGACGGCCTTAATACGCTGAGGAAATTTTGCGAGCGTCACGAATTAGCATCCGCCGCCTGTGCGGCGGTGCATCCGAAAGGGCCGTAGCGAAGCCAGTTTAATTTGTACAATTAACTGACATTTGTAGCACGGGCGGATGAAATATAGAGGCGGCAAATAAAGTGCATTTGCATACTAATAAATAATTTGCAGTTCCTCCCGGCGTTTCAGCGAGTCTCGCGTTGAATCGTCGACGAAATCGGAGACTTGGAAAAGGTGTATCTTCGACCCGGTCAGATTCGTTTCGCTCTCGCGGGAGTATCGTGGCGTATCGGTAGTTTTACACGCGATCGGAAGGTGAGGACCCGTCGCGACCTGAACAGGCTTTCGGTGATGAGAATCGGCAGGCAGAGTTCATCCTTAATTTAATTTCGGGCGGATCTCGCCGCGATGAAACGTTCTCGCGCGGAGTTGAAGTTTAACTTGAAATTAAGAGCGGCCGGAAAAACTGTTTGGAATCCGCTTCCCGATTCTCGTCACGCGAGGGCGGGACGACCCCTCCGACCGAGGGAGATTCCTCGGAAAGAATCCCGCGAGTCTCGTCTCGAGGGGATGGAGCGTGCTCGAAGGAAGTAACGTACTCGATAACTGCCATAATTGCGACAGATTCCTCATCGAATGCGGCCAGTTCGATATCCCTGGCGAGGCGGTCGAGCTGCTGCTGCGGCAAGGGCGTGGAAGGATGCATGTTGCGCCAGGTGTGCAACGCGATTACCTCCCCGTTAAGTGCGCATGGCATGCTCGACGCCTGCAATTATAGAAACGCCGGCGATATTTAAACCCTTTTTGCGAGAGCAATGTTTCAGGACTGTCGCGAATACTGGATGCGCCGGCGAGTCTCGCCCTTCTACTCCCCGCGGGAATCGAGCGGCGTCCGACGCCTTTGCGCTTCCTCGAGCGCCTCGCGAGAGATCGTTCGGGAAATATTTACAGGGATTTACGTTACTACCTGTCCCCCCCGTAACTACCCCCGCAGTTTTACAACCGTGCGGCGCATAAATAAACGCTCGAATCTGTCGCGAGGTTTAAATATTTAGTACACGCCCTCTCCCTTTAGTCGTCGCACTCATCCAGTATTCGCGAGCGGCCTAAAATTATCGCCAATTCGGTCGCTTGCGCCAGTGCGCACCGAGCGCACACTAGTGTTCATAGCCAATTCTTATATTTTATCAATTAATCAGAATTCTTCAATGTCGCCAGCGGCAATTAATAACGTCAGTGTTTTTACGTAGACGACATCTTTGTACTGTTGTTGCGACAAATATTATCATACGCCTCGGTGGTCGAACTGGTGAGACGCCCGCCTAGAGTGTAGGGAGGTCCAGGCTCGAACCCTGGCTGAGGTAATATTTTTCGCAATAAATTTTCTGTATTATTAAAGATGCCAGATACGGTCAAGAAAATACTGACGTTCTTATACTTAACTTTGCCTCAAATACGCGTTCAAAGAGTGTTTAGTCCAAAAATTATCCGTGTGAACGCTGCACAGATCATTTTTCTGGATACGAAATATCTCAAGAGGTTTTTGAGACGAGCCTTCAATAGAAGAATTGACTAGAGACGAGTCTTGGAATTAATGTGCACTTTGCGCGCACTAGCGGAAGCGACCGAATTCGCTATTAGTTTCTTTTTGTGAGGAAGAGAGAGAGAGAGAGAGAGAAAGGGAGGGAAGAGGAGGAGAGAGAACGGAGAGCTGTCGAGAAATCAGCGATATTACTCGGCTGAATCAATGGCGTTTTACGCCGGTCGACATTTACCACGAGAACAAAAGCGCACGTACTTCGCCGTTTGTTATTCGTTGGTATTAACGTTTCCGCGGACTGTGTTTCTCGCGCGACGAGTAGGCGCAAACTTCAGTATCGAGCTTCTCGTAACGTTTGCGAAGGTCGAACGGCGTTCGCGTCCGCCTCGAGATAATCGGAAGCGAGTGACGGGACGTCGTTCGAAAATCGATGCGGGCTTGTAATTTTTACCTTACGCCGTCTAACGGCATTGAATTGTTCGTCCCTCTCTCTGGCTAGCCTCATTTCATTATACGCGGGACGCGTGTGCATGTATGAAAAAAGCACGGGGGGATCGAATTTGTTTTCTTTTTTTCTTTTTTTTAATAACGACGCCTTTAACGTCCGAATATAATGTTTCCCCTCGCGCGCGATGCACGCTCTTAAGCTCGCGCCGCGTAGCACCGCCAAACTTCTAAGTAGAATTCGAGTTACACGCTGGTAGGGGATGTTTTCCCCGGTAATTTTGGTATATCTCTTATAATTACGCGTGGTTTTTATTTTAACGCGCACCCCCAACGTTTGGCGGTGCGTGGCTGTGCAGCGAGAATCGCCGACGGTTCGGCAAACGCTGGGCGTACTCTTAAATGTATTCTTAGTGTTGCACATGTAATACGCGGAAATTACAGGCGGCAGGATGTTTAGTTCGACTACTAAAGCGCAACAGAGCGTTAAGGGTGGTCCCGAAGGCGTTTAAATCGCAGTGGATGCTTGCCAAGAGGTCGACGGTGGCATTACGGGCGCTATCGCTACTTTACGCACTATGAGCTTCGCGGTTTCTTTTTTTTTTTCTTTACTTCTCTCTTTCTCTACGAGAAAGCTAGCCGCGCGTCATATCGTCTCTCCGCCCGATTTCTTCGCTGTCGTAAAAAGAAATATCGCGCAAACCGCCTGGCTGCGAATGGTACAGAGCGGTGCGCGAGAATTTAATGACTTTTTTTTTTTTAACACACCGAGGTCGCTTTTCGAAGCAAGCCCGAAA